CTGGCATGTTTGGAGTTAATTTATTGATGTTTCTGTAATCTATTGTTAGTCTCCATGTGCCTAATGGTTTCTTTACTGGCCATATGGGTCTGTTATAGTTAAAGCTTGATGTATGTTCTATCACATCTTCCTCTTGTAATAATGCTGTTGTGTCTGTAATGTCTTGTAATCCACCCTTGATTGGGTATTGGCTTGTGAAAGAGTTTGGTATTTGAGGTAATTGTATAGGATCTATTTTTACTTGTGTTAGGCATATGTGTTCTGGTTTTATGCAGTTTCTTATGTATTTCCAATGGTTCCATATCTTAGGTATTATATCCATGCCTAATATATTGTGTGATACATTTCCATTATACATGTTGCATTCTATTATTTTGTCGTATATCTCTAATCTTGCCCTTATTTTGTTTAGTGTAGTTATGTTCCCTGTAATTCCTTGTATTCCTAACATGTTTTTTGTGTTATGTATCTTTGGTAATATTATGTCTTTGAATATGCTGATGTCACTCCCTGTGTCTACTAGCCATGTTGTTGGTGTGGGTTTCTTGTGTAGTATTATCGGTGTCCTAATCCACGGCCTTGGATCCCCGCTTGATAGAATCTGCGGGGTTGGTTGAAGTATGGATTCTGTCTGGGCTGCCCGGGCCGCTGTCTGCCCAGACCTCCTTTCCCTAAAAAAGTTGGGCCTCTGTTGTTGTTTTCTTGGTATCTGTTTGGGTAACGATATGTGGGTTGGTATCTTCCTTGTCTTGTCTCATTTTGAAACTGTTGGTTGTTCATACTTGGTTGTCTATTCTCGTTTCTCATTGGTTGTACATTGTTGAATCTATTGACTCTACTGAATGTTCCCTTTTTCTTCCTCATGTTGTTTTCTGTCACATTGTCTGCGGCAAAGCTCATGACATTTGTTTTTTCTAATTCTCTGTTTTCCCTTAGAAAATTTATCATGTCTCCAATTGTTCTAGCTGACTGTACGTTTGGTCTTATTATTATTTTTAAATGGTTTGGTGCTCCCTTTAGGATGATTTTCTTGGAACCTGGTGTTAATATTGTTTCATGTGGTGTAAGTGCTCTCGAATATACCATTCCTATTACTCCTAATGTCCTGACTAAATCTATTCCTTGATCCCATGTGTTCCATTTTGTCTCTGCTTCCCATTTTGTGAGGTCTATTGTAGGATATGTCATTTGTATCGCATATGCATACCGATCCATTAGAGAATATGTCTTACCTTGGTTGTGTTCTATGAACTGTAGTAGATTCTCCTGTACACTAGGATTCTCTATTATATTTTTGATTCTAGTCATTTCTCCACTTGTTAACATTATAGTATCTGCTCCTTTGTCCCACATTGCACGTAAGTATGAGGCGTCCCCCTTACCGTTCTGTGCAAATTCTTGTCTTATTTGAGTTAACTCTGTTCCCTTAAGAGGTCTAATTTCCTCTCTTATTTCGGAACCTTCTTCCACCGGTGGGTTTGTAAATCTACTTGGAGTATTAATGCTAGTCTTAGTGAGCGGAAAAACCTCCCAGTTATTTCTGGGTGGGTCCGGTGGACCCTCACGTTCGGCTAGCTGTTTAAATGGGTTAGTATCCTTGAACTTTCCTATTATCTTCTGAGCCATGGCTTTTCCTTTCATTCTATCATTGTCTGTATCCTCTATTGTTTTCAGCAATATGCTTGGGACCTCAGGTTGTGACGCTCTTTCTAGTATGGGTTGTATCACATTAGGATCTGTTAATGTAGCCTTTATATCTATTTCCTTATATCTACATTTTTCCTTAACGGTCTTTTTTGTTTTTTTGCCATTGGTCATTGTCATCTCCACTCACAGTCTCTGGTTTTGGTTTGATTGTTAGTTTCTTAAATTTAGCCAGCATTTTGTGGGTTTGGGGTTATTCAGAGGTGATTCCAATAATTTAGGATGCTATAGAATATGAGTATGAGAAAATATATAGACACATATATTAGTCTATATCCCTTTGCAGCTACTGTGCCGATTCCAATTCCAAATGAGATTATGGTTGCTGCTAGTAGTACTATAAAAATTTTTCCTACGGAGTCCAGAATGGTGCGCAGCTCTTCCTCCTTCTCTGCTCTTGATAAGAGCTCCAGACTTGGCTTACACCGTGCTGGCTCTTCTATTTGGGTGTCAGTTTGAGTTGGAAGTTTTGGTCCAGAGTTGTCCTTTCCAAATACTCCCTTCTCTTACCGATTCCCAAATGGTACTATCCTTAAGTTTAACCTCCGACCTGAGCTACAAAGTTTTGCGTGGGAAGCCCCAATGAATAATCTTGTTGAATCCTGTTATATTAAACAGAATCCTGCCGACTACGCCAGCTGTCACGAGCAGGTACCGCGGGTAAAGAGCACTCAGACTCGGAGGGCAGTTCACACACTTATATTATTATAATTCACTTCTATGCAATTATCACACTATATTAAATAAGACAATATTAAGTCTGCCAATTACCACGTCCCTGTACTGTACTGCGCAAGTCCTTATGGGAGCGCGACGTTTCCTCCCGTCGGGTCAGAGGGTCCGACGTAGACGAAGGGCGTCGAGTCGGCGCTAGGCTGTCCGTCTCTCCGCTGGCCTCGTCCTCTGGTCTCGTCTGGTCGGCGGCGATGCTCCTTCCAGCGGGATCAGGTGCAGGTGTCCCGGTCGGTAGTCAGATCAACAGACTGACTAGTAGACTGGTCGGTGGGACGGATCGTCGACTTGCTTGAGGTCTTCAGCGCCTTTTATACTGTTCTAACTGGGCGTTTGTGGTATTGGTTCAGACTTATCACACTGTCCATTTGGGCCACGCCCTGTCCAGTTCGGGGTTCATCCTTATCAGTTCCACACCGCTTAAGGTTCTACTTCTATATCTCATGGTTACTATGGTTACATATCCCTCACAGCACTCTTAAAGTCACAGCACACTTTAGGGTTACAGCACATTTATGGTTACAGCACACTTAGGGTTATACAATTCCATCTTATTTTAAGGTGTTCTCCACATTCCATCCCCTGAATCTGTAAGCGTCTCCATCAGAGGCGGTTACAAGATTCACAGAAAAATCTGGATAATGCCTCAACTCGTTTGGCTCTCATTATCCCTTTCCAATTACGCCATGCAGAATATTGGTATATCATTTCTAGCATTGCATCTTTAGTAATAATTCTTACACATATATCTTGTAATGGTGCTGGTGGTGATTGTACTTTGGTACCTTGCAATTGTACCATTTGTTGCATAAACTGTGGTCTATTTACTAGGGTATCATATATCCATGTTGGTGAGTAGTTGTGATATAGTGACATGTATTATGTTATTAAGAGACCGATTGTTCTCTGTGTTATCTCATAATCATATATGCATAGTTTGTGGCATGCCAATGGGTGGGATATAGCGTGGAATAAGAAGTATAGAAAATCCTGTGAGTTATCATCGGTACCTGTGAATAATAAGGAGGGTGTTGTACAGAATTTACAATGATGTGCCATTAAATATTCAAATCCAAAACATCTAAATAACAGATCTATTGGTATGTGGGTTTCCATAAATGCCATCCTCACAAAATGTTCCATATGTTTTTCTGCACAAAATCTTCTTCCCGATTCATACGTTATTGGTCTCATGAACCATGGTCCTTCTTTTTTAGTTTTCTTGTTATATTTTCGTCTACTCCAGTAGCCGTCCCGTCTCACGAGGGTACTGGAGTTGTTTTCTGAGGACATCTTTGTAGTTGTCTGAAAAAGATTTCTTGAAACAATACTTATAGACAATGGTTAGAAATTTTATCATTATAACAGCAAATATAATAGCTAACATGATTTTAAAGATATGCTTAATCCAATAAAATGGGTCCCAATTTGGAAAACATATTGTATTAAATGTGATTATCCTAGTGATCATACTCCATAATCTACAGGGTCCTGAGTTGGTTAGTGTGCCTTTTGGGAGGGTTAAGTCTTTATCTATCAAAGCTACTATTTGTTGGACTTTCTTATGGATTTCTTTTGAAGAATTTAATTCTTTGATTGTTTGTGCATGTAGACTTTCTGTTTGGAGTTGAAGTCTGACATTTCCATCAGCTGTTTGGCTTTATTGATTATGTTTTGGATGTTTTGTAATTCAGTGTCCCATGAGAATGAAAATGCATCCATTCCCAGATATTTTTGTTGTATCCATATTGTTGCCGATGATTCCCATTGTAATATATGAGACAAATTTCTAGGGTTGCAAGTTGTCAGCATTATGATTGATGCATTGTGTACGAGGAAACATCCTGGGTATAGGGTATAATTAAGTATAGCATCTTCTTGGTTTGTTGTGTTGTAGTTATTAATGGTAAGATTAGCCATTGTTGGAGTACATACCAAATGTTGGTAGTTACCTAGGTCCTGTACTTTGTGAAAAACCTTGGTGAGTGCTACATCTGATTCTATTGGTTCATATACTTTGTTGTGTGGGTATACGTATGTGTTTCCAAATCTGAATGTTTGGGATATTGGTATTGTTATATATG